TCCCTGTATAATTAGTTAACTTGTATGAGCAAGGTTTTAATTTAAAATTTAGATTAAAACAATTAAAGATATTTCTGGGGATTGCATTTATTTGAGCCCCTGTATCTAATTTAACCTTTAAAAATTTATTTAACTCAGTTATAAATATGTTTTCAAACCATTCACTCCCCTTTTTACACGAATCTGAATCTAATGTCCCCAATACAAATGTTTGATTATCAGTATTATTATCAGAATTAACTAAATTAACAGTCTTTTTATTTTGACATACCTGTGCAAAATGATTTTGTTTCTTACAGTATGCACAACTCTTACCATAAGCTGGACAGCTTCGGTGACTTCTATCGTACCCACAATATCTGCATATTGAGGTTGTGTTGGGCTGTGGTCTTCTTTGATGTTGATATTCCACATTTTTCTTATTCTTGTCCTCTTGGTTGGTTCTTGTCGTGGGTTGGGTTGTCTGGTCTCGTGCTGGTAACTGTCCATCCCTTGTCTTCTTGAAACTATCCCTTGTATTCTTAAAATTCTTTCTCGGCTGGTTTTTAATCTCGCACACACTTTTATCTTCTAACAAGTTTTGTATGTGTTTATCGGCTTGTTCTGCTGCCTTGCAAACAGTTATGGCTTTATCCAAGGTTAAATCGTCTTCTCTTAGCAATCTGTCCTTGGTTCTTTTATCGTATAGTCCACAAACTATTCGATCTTTGATCAGGCTGTCTTTTAGTTCACCAAAATTACAGGAGGCTGCAATGCTTCTTAAATCTTTGACATAAGCATCAAAATTTTCGGTGGACAATTGTGTTCGGGTATTAAATTTATGTCTTTCTACACTTACATTTGTTTTGGGTATAAAATATCTTTCCAACTCTTCTATGATCTTCTCCTTATTTTGTTTATCTGCTTCTGACATATTTAGAGTGTCCAATATCTCACATACATTCTCTTCGATTGTATGTAACAGAATTGCTGCCTGTACTTTTGCTTCTTTCTGGTCTGCCGCGGTGGCTGTATGTATAGGTTAAACGTTTTTTTAAATTTCTTCCAATTAAGGGCCAAGTCACCCTCCATACTCATGGGCTTGGGCTGTTTTAAAAATTCCATGCTTTTAACCTTACTTTTCTTTTATTTTTCTATCAGGTTACTTTTTTTATTCACTAATCACTAATAACTATCTTCAAAGTTTCTATTACTAAGACTGCGCCATGTTATATTATCAGGTTGTTCATTATAAACAATATTTCTAGGATGCAGATGGATTTATTATTTTACTTTACAATTCACACAATTGCATGTCCTTCTTCGTGACAGCAGTGAAGTTGGCCCTCGGGGCAAAGGTTAGCTACACTACATCTTATTAGTTAAATTCTCATTACATAAATTATCATTATATAAACTCAACACTATAACATTTGAGAAACGAAATAAAGCAATAAATTATAAACTTTTATGCATACCTACTGATAAAATATATAAAATAGACAATGCAGATAAAAGCTATGTTTCCTGTTTTACTACCCACTACTGGTAGAGTATATTACATACAAGATACCTAAAAAGCTGCACAACTTATATATCTAAAAATATACAGCAGAGCTCTGCCTTATAAGGCAATTTTTATTATTTATTTTTTACTATTTCATTAGGGATTACTAACTAAATTTGAAACAAATATTTATTAAAATATATAAAACCCTAATTTATAAGAATAATATACAGGGTGTTATGAAAAACACTTTAATAACTCTAGTATATCAATCGGTAAGTCATTTGAAATAACTTTTTTCTAAAATCAAAAATTAATAAAGCAGCGTGACCTTAAGATAAGACGGTATGTTGCGTGTTTACATGCCGGTTTCTTTTTGAAAATTTATAAAAAGTAAAAATTAAAATTATCAAGCAAAAAAATTACTTAATTAATATTGTAATTTAAGAATAATTTAAGGAAAATTAAATCATTATAAAAAAGTGGTTCCTAATATTTTTCTGCAAGGCTAAATTTATTTATTAAAGAGTCTCAAAAAAATAAAATCCGCAATGAAAATTGTCAGTAACATTAGTCTCAAGAATTAAAAATGTATTTTTAATAAAAATACTAAATATATAAAACAAAAACAAAATTAAACTTTATACTATGCAAGTATTTTAATAAAACGATCATTTTAAAATCATTAACCACTCAGTTCGCCATTCAAAGAAAATTAAAAATAAAAAATAAAGAAAAAAACTAAACTTATGAATACATTTTATAATGTTGTTTGAATAAAATTTTATGGATTTTCGACTTTATTAAAATGATCGATTTAATAAAAAAAACATAATTATTTTAATTTGATTAACAAAAATATTCATAAACCCCCATAATTTCATGAAAAGTAACAGGTTCAATAATATTAATACCCTGACATTTTCCATTTACCTAGGGCCGATATTTCAATTGTTACTTATTTTCCAAAAAAAACCATTTGACGGATAACTTCCACGGATACCATTGTCTTGACAATAGTATCTAAGGAAATCATGCGGCAAATAGTTTATTTGGAACATACTCTTTTAATATGAATTCATCAAAAATGACTAATTGTCATGGCGAAAAAGCAGCCACTAATAGGTAACTGTTGTCCAAAGCAATTTAATTCCCGGATATTTAATAGACAATTCATATGTAAAATTGTCCTCTGAATCAGAAAATACTGTGCAAAGATATGAAAGTAGATAAGTTTTTGAGATATAGTCAATTTATAATTATTTTTGGTAAGTAAAGTCTAAAAGGCTTGTTTAAAAACGTAATGCTCTGCGAGGACTCCTCGCATCTCAAAATATATAGGTACCTTGTGGCTTTATAGAAGGCTACAAATACTTTTTGCCCCCTAGCCCTTTATTATACTGAAGAGTAATATGTCGCAGCAATAAAAAACATTGCAATTATTTTTCACAACCACAGCTATTTTTTAAATTTATTTTTTCCTTAGGAGTTTACCTATCAAAAATAATTAAATACATTCATTCTGAGGCTTATGTGGCTTTTTGTTTTAAAACAACTTATATAACTAACCTTATGCATTTTTAATAAATGCCTGCAGCCATGGCTTATTATTTTAGTGCCAAGATCTTCAAATAATGCTTACTTAATAACTAACTTATTGATATGATAATGTTAATTAATTAATTAATTAGGTACCTATACAGTATACACCTCTCTTCTAAGATGGGAAATAAATTTGGTAAATTTCACGAGTCCACGATTTCTTTAACTTTGTTCACTTTACGGTCACTATTTAAAACACAGACACTCAACCCACCCCTTCCCAACTGCAATTTTTAGCGGTAACAAGTGCACGCGCGAAGTCCTCTTATTGGCGGAGCAAATTAGGCCCTGTAGTACGCGATTTCAATAAAAAATTGCCAGGATATCGTAGTATTCAACGATCGGATTCTTGTTTGGTTTACAACAATAGTAATAAACCTAGAAGTTTATTCCGATGTTTTTTAACTTTAAAATATTAGTAGGTACGTTTTTCTAAATTAAATACAAGAAAGAAGTTCAGTATTCAAATTATTTTTCTTAGAATGCAAATGAATTATTTTACCACACTTGTGATAAGAAATAATGCTATATTGAAGATATAAATTGTTCTTATTTTGAGAAAATTTACAACAATAATCCTTACACAATTATTGTAATTCATACTATATTAATTATATTTATAAAATGAAATATTACTGCAATACTGAAGAATTATTATAAAAACTTCTAGATAAAATAATAGTCATATAAATTGTAATAAATACTTTTAAAATTTCTTTCCGTGCGGTAGGCAGAGGTAGCCCCTTAATTTTAATATTACAAATATATACAGGGCATTGCTGGATGATTTAAAAAAAAATTATTTTAACGTCCGGAACCTCTTAATTTATAGAAGTAAAGGTTGCCTCCATTATAATATAATAATATTATGTACAAGATTTAAGTCTCAAACTAATTGGATGAAGAAAAACTTACGTGAAACAAATGTTTTTATACCCGTACAAACCTAAAGTTGCCAGATTTTTACTTATTAATAATAAAACAAAGTTTAATTATGTAGGTACTACAACTTTGCCAAGTTTTCGGTCAGGAAAAATCTAGTATTTCCCATTTAAAGTTTCAACAGCTGGGCAGTAATATGGTTTAACATTAACCGATCTGTTTTAAACTTATGTTTAAAGTTTTTAACGTTTTCTTTTTATTTTAGAAATTATTTTTTAAATGCGCCTAAATATTTTAAACAATAATTAAATTTAACAATGTTCTTTTTCAAAAATGTACCAAAGCAAATATTTTTAATTCGAAAAATGTAACCCAAATTTTAATATTGACAAAATTACGATATATAAATAAAATAGTATATTGTGCGACTAGTTGGAGAAAGAGGAGATTTCTCGAGCGTGGTTTGCCGAACAAGTGCGGTTACACGCGAGTGGAATCATTTTTGTAACCAATAATCGCACACACTACCGCAGGGATTTAAAACCAATTTTATTTGATATTTTATATGACATCTGACAACTGTCAAGCAGTTTTAACTTTTTTACAATTTTAACTTAAAGCCAGTGGGTGAAATGCTATTTTTCCCACTAGTGGACAAAGTCAAATTTCGCCCACCAGTTAAGGTTAAGAAATGAAATTTTGAATAAATATTATTATATTATAATATATTTCAAAACAAATTCGCAGCTTTGTCCAAATAGTGTAAATTTGTAATTAAAAATTAAATTATTCCTAAAATAATTCAATAACAGACTTATTAGATATTTATTATTAAATTGATTTAAATAAACATGTTGCAAACACCTTTGTTTAATTTAAAAAACAAATAATAATACGATGCAACTTAAGATTGATTATTTGTATTGTTTCAGGAAACAAGATGGGGTGCACAGATGTTGAACTCGACAGTCTTGGGGAACTTCTGAATGATATATACATTGAAGTATTGATAGTGTCATGTTTAATCGCAATGATCTTAAACGTAATAGTAATTGTAAGCATATACTGGATACGCACTCCAATGACTCCAATTTTGAAGATGAGCCTGAGCCTGGCGGCCGCTGACGCCTGCAGTTCGATGCTTTACGCTGCTAACTTATTCGGCCTAGACCTCATGGAAATGGTTAAATTAATGGGTATTGTTGTGACGGTTGCCCATTTGTTGGCGCTTAGCCTAAATCACTATTTAGGAATTTTAAAACCCCTGCATTACAATTCCATTGTAACCAAAAGAAAATTAACGATTGTCATATGTATGCTGTGGATTTGTCCTGTTATCATTGTCGGGACTTTGTGTGGCGTTGAAATGAACTCGCATACTTTTCAGTCTGAAAACAATACTGAATTAATTTACATGGATTTTGAAAACAATACCAATAAATTAAATGTATCCGAAGATCCTTTCAATAATTTTAGATTTCGCATAAGCTACGCATCGCTGTTTTTTATTCCAATGGTCTTTATGGCGTTCTTTTACACCCACATCCTGATTATAGTGCGTAAGCAACAAAAAGTATGGAAACATTTGTCTAGAATAGGAAGTACTAAATGGAAAGGCAGATCTGTCAACGGCTGTCCCAGTAACAGAGTTATAAGAGAACAAAAGCAGCTCGAGGGAAATTTAAGAGCAATTTGCACGACACTTCTGATTATGGGGTCTTGTTTTATTGGCTGGATGCCGGCGCTATTACTGTATAGCCTTATGTGCGAAAAAGGTTGTTTTTGGCAAGGTGACTCATTGTGCGAGTTAAATAGAAAGCACATTAAAGGTATCATGACTATTAGGTTCATTGAGAACCTACTTATTATCATGAAGATGCTGGCAAACGCCGTAATTTACAGTATTCGAATGAAAGAAATAAAGGTAAGAATTTTTTTTAAATAAACCGTCTATATATATATATCTCTTGTTGAACAAATATTGTTTAATAGTTTATTATATCCCCGGATTTTGTTTACAGGAAAACCTTTTTTTATTTTTGGTTTTACATTTATAATAAAAAGTTTTTACAGACAACAAAAAAATATTGACATAAAAATCTAAGCTTTTATCTACAGAGTGTTCCAAAATTTGGGATAACATTTAAGAGAAAAGTACCTTTATTTTAAAAGAAAAAGTTGTTTATAATTAAAAATAAACTCATATGAAAACATTTCCACATAACCAGCAATTCATTAATATTTTTTTGTGGAAATTAAAAAAAAGACAAAGACTTTTAAAAAGATAACAATCAGGATCTTGAATCCATTGTTTCCACACTTATGTCAACAAAGTGCTTTATATGAGTCAATAAAAGTTCTTTGATCTAAATTAATTTTGTTTTCCTAACTTTTAAACACCCTAGTTAAAATCCTCCAATTTTAAATTGATTTCATTTTTTCCTAATTTTTAAATACTGACAAATTTTTGCATGTCAATATTATTTTTTCGGCAATCAAAACATTTTATAACAAATGACTTTTTGAAACACCATAAATAAAACAATGTTTCCCTCTTGTAAACACTGTAGATTTTAATCTACAAACTTTCAGGATCGATATAACTCCAAACAATAAAAAGATTCAATCCACGAAAGATATAGGTATTTCAAACGCATAATAAGGCCGTAAAAATTGGAAAAAAATCGTTTTTTTCTCATAACTTTTAATGACAAATGACAGTTGACAGATAACAGTTGACAGATAACAGTTGACAGATGACATAAGTTGAAGACAATCAATCCAACTTATTTGCTTAATTTTTAATTAGTTTAATTTTATTTTCAATTGAAAACATGCTTTCAAAGTTTCAAACCCAAATAACTCAAAAAACCAAGCTTATAATCAAAATTTCCCAACAGTTTTTCTTTCAAATTAAACTCTGAATTTTAAAATATGATCTATTGTTAAAAACATCCAGAGGGGTAAAAATGGGAAAGAAAAGGAGGAGGCACCCCCATTATCTACTCTAATTTTAGTAAACTTTAGTAAATTAGAATACAATCGGTTAAGTGAAAAAGATTTTTCTGGTTTCAACTTTGGCGACCTTATTTTTTTAAGCTTTATGGATCCTAAAAGTTTGTAAATTAAAACTTGGACCACGCTGTATATTATAAATGGCTTAAAAACAATATTTGCCCAACAATATAAGATGCCCCTGGAGACTACTGGAGTAAATTAATTTAATCCAATTATATCAAACCTGACTATTATTTTTATTGTCATAAAGCTTAAAGAAAATTCAGATATGAGGAAAATTTAAATATTATAAAAATGTAATATTCTATTTATTTAAAATAAATTGTTTCCGAAATAAAGTTGTTTTTATATATTATTTTTATGCAAGAAACGTTTTACCTTATTCTGAATTTTTGTGCTTAATTAATGAATCACCCTGTCTAATATAATATAATCTTCTATTACGAATATACCAACACTTATCATGTCGCTGTATTAATTTTGCCGCTTTCCAAAGTGCTTTTCGACAAGAATATTGTTTTTTATTTTTTTTAAAGTTGCTGGATGGTGGGAACCCTGGAAAAATTGCTCTTAAAAGACGCATTCAAATTTACAATATGAAAACATGTCAGTAATGTAACGCTCTTAATTTACAGTTTACATTGTTTTGAATTAATTAGAACTAATTATCTCTACTCTTGACAATGCACACCAAACTGCAGGGATGGGAAAACTATGGTTAAAGCATTATTCAGAACCTCGTAATTATTGGAATAAATTAGTGGTTTCAATTAAAGTAAAAGTTTGTCTTATGAATATACACAGTGTTGTTCACAACCAAAAAATTAGTGGTAGTACTTTTTAATTAGTGGAAAGAGTTTGCAATCTTCTAACTTTTACCACTAAGTATAATTGGAAAGAGGCTTTGCGCATGACATGCGCACATTGTGCGCGGATATTTTATGTCAAAAGCAAAAAGTTTAAAGTGAAGGAAAGGTTATATAATAGTATATTACACTACAAGGGCAGAAAGTGTGAGGTTCCTGCACTGCGCGGCATGATGCCCGAGGCAAAGCCGAGGGCATCATGGCGCGCAGTGCAGGAACCTTACACTTTCTGCCCGTGTAGTGTATACTATTTTTCTTGCTACCCGGCAAAAAATACCGGAAAAAATTAAATGTATATAACTTGTGTCAAAATTAAAATCTGACGTTTAATTTAATTCTGACGTTTACATTCAAAATCAATCAAACTGTAACGTTGTCATGGTAATTCAGCGGTGCCAATACAGTAAAAATAAAAGATTGTATTTTAATTAACAAATTACTACTTTATAACAAATAAAAGTACTATTAAACACTTAAAACAACATAAAAAGTAAAAAAGTAAAAACATAAATTGTTTATTTGTTGTTATAATTGCAAAATTATGGTTTAAAACTGTCATATTTTTGTGTTTCTCATGTTGGCAGCACGAAATTTGAATATTAAGCACACGACTAAAAAATTTTTACTCCCGCTATTAGAGTGTGCGCGTATAGCTTGACCAATGCAAGAAACGTAAACTTTCTGCCGTGAAATCGGGGACGAAACAACGTATTTTGAGTCGAGGTAGTAAGAAAATATTATTGTAATGGTTGTAAAAATATTATTTTAATATAATTAATATTGTATATGTCAGGTTAAGAAGAATGGAGAATCTTTTAGCAAATTACCTTAATTTTAGATGTTAATTTTGCGCATTGTGAATGATCGTTTTGTGTTAATTATACTGCCGTCCAACGGAAAAACACCGTATGTTATCATTTCTTACTTTTGAGAAAACGATCTTTATAAAATTCCCTTTTTGCGCGTTTACAAAAATCCCGATAACTTCTTTGTACAGCATAATTTTTTACAAATTTTACGTGGAATGTAACTCTAAAGTAGGATATTAGTTGGCTGATTATTAATTTTTAATTAATTTATTTTAGTTTTTGAAAAAAAAACATATTTTTGAAACATACGTTATTGTTTATTAGCAAAAATGTTTTCGTTCCTAAGGGTAAAAGCCGTACGTAAAAAATTACAGACTTACGATAATCCGATAGAAAAAATGGAGCTAAAATATTAGTCATAAACACCGTATGCTTTAACATACGGTGTTTTTGATTTGTATAATCAGATGTATTTTACAGAAAAGAAGATAAAATAAACACAGTAAGTTCATTAAAAGTTTTTTATTGTATTGCACAAAAACAAACAGATCAAAAATATCAAAGAAAAAGGTACAAAAAACGACATATTTTATTAAATATCGTCGAAACTGGCCGTTTAATCATCCTCAACCACGGTAATTAAATTTTGAGCATTGCTCTCGTGAAGGTTCTGCCAAAATGATAATTTATGTTTTGGAATTAAAGAGGATAAGTTGGTGATAATTTGATTTTTTCTTTCAGAAGAAACTCCACGATCAGTGGTATGATTTTCAGGATCTTTTAAAGAAGTATTTTTTTTTGAGAGCATATTTAATTCTTTATATTCAACATCCTTAAACGACGTCTTATAATACAGACATTTGGAGCCTCTTCTTGCTTCCAGAACTGCAATATCTTTTAAAAGTGGTCGGTTTTTATTAATCTTTTGTAATTGATAGTTGGTTGTTAGGTTAGGCCAATGCTTAAAATCAGAAAAATTCATTTCTTTTATATAGCTACTTTTTGTACTATTTTGCACCGCATTTAAAAAATCCTGAAAATCATAAATTTTAGGGTTTTCCTTCATGCTCTTTTCAACCAAATGGTGAAAACTGTCAGCAGACATAAATGTATGCCCTGTTTCAAAATATTTAATTGTCAGTTTTTCAGCAGCAATGTGATCACAATTAATTACGTAAATTAAATAGCTCAAAAAGCACCAGTTTTTATTTTGAGCACTGCAGTTATCAGCCCACAAATATACACTTTTTTTATCCCTGGCATAACCTGTCAAGAAACCATTATAGGCACTTATTATGTCTTCTTTTTTTCGTCCTGATATGCATTCATGCCAAAGAATAGCTACCGCTTTATGTTTTTGTGAAATTGAGCCCAAGGGAACAAATGACTGGTTAAAAACGATGATTCTAGGTGTAAAAATGACTTGTTTAAACATATCTATTCTTGGTAGCATGATTACCTTCTGCATGTCAGTAGAATAATATAGAGACTCATTATCGTCAATTTTCTTCTTGTCACTTCTATATTCTTCCCTGGACATTTCTGCCTTTTTGATATGATCCAGCCACTGAAAGCATTTGTCACAATCAGTATTTTCATTGGCATTTTGTTTGTTATGGCCATTATCGTGCAACAAAAATGCATCACATTTTTCACATTCTTCATGGCCCAACTTAGTAAATGAAATATTCATGTCTTTAATCACAGTTCTGTACAATTCATAAGAAATTTGTAGTCCTGGATGACATTTCTTAAAATCCGAAAACATGTTTACTACCGTAACGTCACTTGGTAAATATAATTTATTAGGTGCATGCTCTCGCCTATAATGTGATACACAAGGAGAGAACTTTTTTATGTGAGTTTGAATTATCTCCCTGTCCACTTTCTTTTTTGTGTAAGATCCTCGCCTGTCCTTAGGGGGACTGTCGATATTTCGTAATATGGAATCGTTCTTTCCTGCATATCCCAGAGTCGTTAAAAAAAAGACCTTGCAAACTTTGAGACGTTCACCATTTTCATTTTTGAGAAAATATCTTTTTGAGAACTGTTTTCTAGAGTCATTTGTGTTGCCTGGACGTCTAGTTTTTACAGAGGAAATGTCTATAAAATGACTTAAAAAAGCTTTTTGCTCTGTAAATGATTTTTTCCAGTACTTAATATTAATTTCTAACCGCCGAGCTTCTCCAATTTGGACTGAACAGCTTTTTTTACACTTACACGGAGGCTTGACTTCGTGCTTTTTAACTCTATTTTGAAACAAAAAGACCTTCCTCTTCTTTTTTAACAACACATACTTCTTTCGTTTTCTAACTTCTCCTTTGTTTGTAAGCGATGTGTCTATGTCGAAAAGATTTTCTAAAAAAATATAAGTCAAGTTATTTTGTATTAAATTAAAGACCCAAATTACCTGCGTTAATCTCTTTCACACCTTCTTCTCGTGCCTTGTTTCCGTTGTTTGTATTAAAATTTTGATCATCAACCATCTCTAAATTATACCTACCTTCTTCTTCCACCATGACATTTTTGTCTTGTGAGTCTTTATGAAGATTTCCATCTTCCAACACACTGTCCCTCAACATCGAAAAACGGTCATAAAAGTGACTCCCAAATTTGACTATGGGATTTTGTTAAGAACCGTTTCCTCAATATATTGTGAAAAAAAACCTAAATCTCAGCTGATCGTTTTCTCAAGAAAAATTGATCTTCAATTTTTTTTACTTGAGATAAGATGTTTTATCCATTTTGTAAATGATGTATACATATAGAATGTATATATATATGTATATATATATGTATATTATAATATACATATATATTGTATATTCTAATATACATAATATACATATACATTGTATATCCTTTTTCATAAAAGAGCAAGATTATTTGTATCAGTAAGTCATTTCAAAAACATAATTTATATAGATAAAAATGTATTTTTGAACAACTTAAATCTAAACAATAATTTTTCCTAATGACAAAAATTTAAACTACCTACCAAGTTAAGTGAACAAAAATGTAACAAATATGTATAATAAAGTATTTAAAAAAAGTAAAGAAATATCAGTTTTACAAATGTCTTGAAGAAAATTCTACTACACATTTTAAGAGGTTTCTACCATATCGGGGATCATCAAGATCGTTTAATTTATATTTAGACCAATATATTAAAAACTCTCTATGTACAGACTCAATTGCTTGCTCCGACCATACTCCAAGTCCATCTCCTCCCAAACTGTCTAAGCCTTTTATAAGATGATTAAATAAAATATGAATTTTGAGAGTTTCAGAAAGCTCAGTGGCTTTAAAAACTTTTTCGAGGTGCATTAATAGGTTTTTAAGGCCATGTTGATCAGTGATTGTAGATGAAAAACAATGTGCAACCACCTTATCCATTGCTTTCAGGGATTCTACAAAAGGTGTAATTTTAACTGCTGGAACCAAATTTAAAATTTCTTTATCATACAGTTTATCTGCAGCATTTAGCAAACTTTTACAAGCATTTCCTTCGAATAGCTCGCCATGATTCTTTGAAACAATATTCAATTTTTTTGGCCAAATAAAAGCCACATCTTTTCCCAATAGTGGGACCAACCCCTTAAAAAACAAATGGTTCACAAATCCTTGCAAAATGTGTAGTTCTGGAATCACACATTTTTCCAACACCGAAACGTCGCCTTCTTCATCAAATATTGAATGATTTACTACACTAAAGCAGTCTTTCGCGTATTTCCTATTTTTTTCGAATAGACAAAACTTCTCATAATGCAATTTTATGTCTCCGTAAGTTCTTAAAGCACTAGCTTCATTTCCAACTGAATGTTTTAGTTTCACGTAGCAGTAGGGACACGGAAATGTAGAAGATGCGGTTTGCAATCCATTAACAATTAATGTAACTTTGAGGTCCGAAACAAATTTGAACGAAATATTGTTAATTTTTATAACTGAAAACAGTAATTTTAAATTTTCAAATGTTTCTTGGATTTCAGGTACAATACAAAGAATCAGAATTTTTTTGACGCCCGTAAACTTAAACCCTTTTGAAATTTTACCACCTTCACTATAAACAGATCTTCCTACTTTAGTTTCATCTTTACTTTGAAACACAGAAAGACATATTTTAAAAAAGCCTTGTCCACCGTCAGCCATGACCTTAATTTTTGGACTTCCTATCAACTGTCTGTGCGTAATCACAGCCTCTAGAATACTTTCTGCATCAGCATATATCACTTTCCTTTTCTGCTTTTCTTTACAGTCACTTACGTCAAACTCTAACTCAGCACATTTATAAAATGGTTCTAAAGTTTTGGACTCTTCGCGTAATTTCTCTCTAAAATTGGAAGAAACGGACTTTTTGCCGGCGCAGGTCCTAACAAAATTTGTAACTAACTCCATTTTATTATTCGATAAGCATGTTGTCTTTTGAAATTGACTAAGCTTTTCATAACTAAACTTTATTTCCTTCTGGGCATGAGGTGGTGGGTTTATAGCAATTCTAGAAGGTCTGCCCAGTGTTGCTAGTCCAATACTTGATTGGTTATTAGTTTCAACATATTCATGTATTATTTTGCTTACAATCTGTTGTTTCTGGTTTTTCGGCACTGCTTGTACAAGGTCCGAAACGTTATGTGCAATATTAGATAAATGACAATAATGTTTTTTTCCCTTTCCAATTTCTTGCAAGCATGTTGCGCATATATATTTTTTTTTCTTTAGTAAAACATCTTTACTAAGAACTCTACTGTTTCCCCTTCCGGTAAAAACTTTTTTGTGACCTTTTCTACGTGCTTCGCTGCAAATCAAGCATGTGCAGGGTTTTCCGCTTCGCAAAGTTTTTCTTAAATCCAGTTTGTGGAATTCCGGCATTGGTAGTAAGGGTCTACGAAATACACCACCTTTTTGTCTCTCCTAAAATATAACCCAAAATATGTAAAACTTTTTTCTTATTAAAACGTTTAAAAATCGTGTATAAAAAGAAAGTACTTTTGAAGAAAAATTGCAAACTTCCGAGTTAAGTGTACAAAGTAGCTATTTGCGCACGCTCGCAGAAAAGCTATAACTAGTTTTCTTACCAATAAAGCCAACTTGCATGTCACACATATCGATGTTGGATACCTTTCGTCATTCAGATCGAAATCACTACAGATATATTGTTTGATTAATGCACAACAACTCTTAGAAATTTTAAATTTAAAAGGCTTAGATTTTTTAAACTTAATTTTAAGGCCACAAGCAGCACAAACTTTGTATCTGTTGTTGGAATGATTCATATTTTTTAAAGTTTAAATAAAACTGCTTGTTTGACAGCAGTTTGACGCGAAACATTTATTTTTTATTACCACGCAACGGTTTTTGTTTCACCATAGCCTACCTGATTTTTCTTCCATATGGTTATAACCATGTCCTTTAAAATTACAATGTTTTTATGGAAAAAACTAAAATATTTATCTGTTAATCAACAAAAATATAATTTTTGAGGCAAATAAATAAAAAATCTATTTTTCTCGTAAAAACGATCAGCTGAGATTTACTTTTTTATCTTTTTATAAAGAGGAAACAATTCTTAACAAAATCCTATAGTCAGATTTGGGAGTCACTTTTATGACCGTTTATCGATGTTGAGGGACAGTGTGCCAAAAAGCCTAAAATATTAAAAATAAATGAAAAAACTTAAGACGTAAATTAATTCATCTAGTAAAACAATAATACCTTCTAGTACATTCATGATATTTTCGTCTTCTGGATTATTGCTGGAAGTACCTTTTGGTACATCCATGGCATTTTTATCTTGTAACTCCTTGCTTAAGTCTCCTAAAAACACTAAAATTAAAACCAAAGTTATGGTGGATTTATGCTGCACAAATTAACATTAAGTTGAGATTAACATTAACATTAATATTATCATTAAAAAGTTTAAATGTATGTAAAAGCGTTTATATAACAGATTAACATTAACTTTAAGATTAAGTTAACATTAAGAGATGACCAACTTCCTAATAATAATTTTTATTTTTTTTATGCTGCGCAGGTTATGGCGCAATTTTTAAATATACTGCGTTACTAATAACAACATTGTTTTTTTTTGTTTTGTTTGTCAACCAAACTTTGGTTGTTGTTTGAATCGCAATTTCTTATTTTCGTTTTATTTCAAGTAAAAATAAGTATTTCAAATGATGGTGAGCTAACTTCAACTTTTACACCACCTTAACCGACGCTAAAACAGGGTTAGAGCAAAATCCAAATAAATCAAAAACTTTAAATGTCAAACTTAAGGCGCACGCGTAATTTACCAATAATTTTGCTGCATAAAATAGCCACCTTAATTAGCTTAACTTAATCTTAATGTTAATGTTAAAACACAAAAATACCTTCTGGTACATTCTTCGCATTTTTCTCCTGTGACTTGTTATATTCAGGAAAATTGGTATCTATCAAAAACTCTAAAATATAAAAAATAGGCATATAAAAATTAAATTCTATTTAATCTCTGTAAATCACAAAACCCCCCAATATCCTTGATATCATTAAATAAAAAAAGTAAAGATCTTACCCTCATTGCTTTTTGAAACATCACCAACATGAAATATTTGACATAAATCATTTGAACTAATGTCAACAGAATTTTCATCAATAAAACTTTGTGTTATTAATGGCTGCATGTTTTCATCTACACCTTTTCCAATTGTATTTCAGAAGAGGTCAATTTTATTTCAGAACTTATTAACTTAATTTAAGAATAGTAAATTTTATTTCAGAAAGTATCAATTGTATTTCAAATTAGTCAATTATCTTTGGAAAAGTATCAATTGTTTTTGAGATTAGTTAATTTTATTTTAGAAAGTGTAAATTGAATTTCGGATTAGTAAATTATATTTAAGAAAATGTCAATTGTAGTTTTAAATAACTATTTGAAATTCCGAAAACGTAAATTGTATTTTAGAAACCATCAATTTTATTTAAGAAAATATGAATTGTATTTAGGAAAGTGTCAATTATAGTTCAGAATAACTTTTTTAAATTCAGGGTGAATTGAATCTCAGAAATAAGCCAAAATATAAAGCATGTACCACTCATCAGTCCCACTTTGACATTTGATGCGGAACGAAGCCTTTTTAAAACTTGACATTTAAGGCATTTTAGGTTATGTTTGTGTCAAAGTATAGTCAATGAAACAAATTTTTCAGTAAAATTACATGATAGGTAAACGTAAAAATATTATTTTATTTTAAATTTGTTTCATTGACTATACTTACCTACCTAAGTAAAGCATAGTGCAAAGACCACATATTCCTTTGATTTAACGATTTACCCTAACTTATCTCTATAAAGTTGAATTTTCGCTTATATCTTTTTTACAGTTAATCGAAAACCTAGTTTTAATTTTTTTTTATTTAAATAGCCAACTTAATTTGTGAACTTTTTTGTACCAGCTTTATCGGTTTTCCGAAATTAAGGGTCCAGAGTTTACCAATGCATTCTGCATACAAGAAAACACTAATTTGTTTAATAAACATGATTTGACGTTGTATCGCAAAATAAATTTAGTCAGCAAATAACCAAAGATATAATCTTTGCAAATAAC